AATTACTCACTATTGAATCCCCATCTCCTTTCACCAGACCCATCCAGACAGGATGAAAACCACTCAGTGAGGATTCTAACACCTCTGGCCACCCCCGCACACTCTGAAGCTTAACTCAATTGGGGGACTTTAAAAAATAATAACTAGAGCACAATACACTAAAATGGTATATGAAATGTGATTTGACTTAAGAATATGAAAATTCTGCAATGAAATAGAGAATGGGCATGGAGTCTAGGAAGAAGGTGTGAGAGAGTAAATGTTTGTAAGTGGGTCTCAGCTCTCTCTGTTGTGTTGTTGTTAAGATTTCGATTCATAGTGACCTTGTGTAGGGTTTTGGAGAAGTGGCTGGTAAATTTGAATGGCCGGCCTCTGTCTTATGACTTGCCCTTTAGCATATCTTGGCCTTCAGAAGCACTGGATTTGTTAGTATTTGATCCCATAGACTGGGGCTCTATCCACTAACACTTTTAACTCCATTCTAATTTGGATTCTTTGTCTTGTTACTTGCCTTCTTGACTGAGCCAGAATTCTCAATGGTTCGGCAATTGAGATGCAGTTATCCCTATTGTTGTTAAGTGTCTTTGAGTCGGTTCTGACTTATAAAGACTCTGCTAGCTATCCCCACAATGAAATCTAATATAATGTAATCAACTCTATGATGAGGTCTGATAGGCGCAGGCAATCAATTGAAGGGAAGCTTCCTTGGGGTGTGACCTGCTTCCAATATATTGGTCACTCAGGCTAAGCTTGCTTGCTATCTGCTGGGTTTAGATCTTGCATCTGGCTAATCCTCCAACCTCCAGTTCTTTGTGGACTTCTCTATTCCCTCCTGATCCTGGGAGTCCTCATCAGCCTGCTTAACTTGGCTGCCTGCTGTCTGACCTGATAGTCTTGTTTCATCTGACCCACAGACTTGGGATTCTTATACCTCTAAAACTGTGTGAGCCATTTCTTCATTATTGTTAGATGCCATTGAGTTGATTCCAGCTCATAGTGATCTTATGCACAAAAAAACAAAACACTGCCCAGTCCTGTGCAATCCTCACAACTGTTGTTTAGACTGAGGCCATTGATGCTGCCATTGTGCCAATCCATCTCATTCTGGGGTCTTGCACTTTACCTAGTGTGGTGTTTCTCTCCAGGGACTGGTCCCACCTGATAATATGTCTGAAGTATGAAAGACAAATTCTTGGCATCCTGGCTTCTAAGGAGCATTCTGGCTGTACATCTTCCAACACAGATTTGTTTGTTCTTTTAGCAGGCCATGGTACTTTTAAATATTCTCCTCAACACTATAACTCAAATGCATCAATTCCTTTATGATCCTCCTTATTCAACTTTCACATACATATGCAGCAATTGAAAATACCATGGCTTGGGTCAGGTAAAACTTAGTCCTCAAACTAACAGCTTTGATCATGAACACTTTAAAAACATCTTGTGTAGCATATCTGTCTAATGCCATATGTTGTTTGATTTCTTGACTGTTCATTCCAAGAGTGTTGATAGTAGATCCAAGCAAAATGAAGTCTTTGACAACTTCAATCTTTTCTCCATTAATCATGATGTTATTTGTTGATCCGGTGATGAGGATTTTTGTTTTCCTTACATTGAGGTGCAACCCATACTGAAGGCTGTGGTCTTTGATTTTCATCAGTAAGTATTTTAAGTCCTCTTTGCTTTCAGCAAGCAAGGTTGTATCATCTGCTTATCTCAGGTTGTTAATGAGTCTTCCTCCAATCCTGATCCCATGTTCTTCTTCATATAAACCAGCTTCTCAGATTATTTGCTCAGTATACAAATTGAATAAGTGTGGTGAAAGAATACAACCCTGACACACACCTTTCCTAATTTTAAAGTCCCCTTGTTCTTCTCTAATGACTGCCTCTTGATCTATGTGCAGGTTCCTCATGAGCACAATTAAGTACTAAAGAATGCTTGTTTCTACAGTGTTGTCCAAAGCTTGTCTTGATCCATACAGTCGAAAGCCTTTGCATAGTCAATAAAGCATAGGTAAATATATTTCTGGTATTCTGTGCTTTCAGCCAAGATTCATCTGATGTCAGTAATGATAGCCTTCATTCTACATCCTTGTCTTAATCCAGCTTGAATTTCTGGCAGAGCCCTATCAATGTACTATTGCAGTCATTTTTTAATTACCTTTAATAAAATTTTACTTGCATGCAATATTAATGATATTGTCCAATGGTTTCCACATTCAGCGGGTCACCTCTCTTTGGAAGGGCCACAAATATGGATCTCTTACAATCAGTTGGCATACTTGAGTGAGTTCTTCCAGTGTTTTTTTGTCAGTTTGTTGAAAGATTTTAATTTGTATTCCATCAGTTCCTGGAGCCTTGTTCTTTACCAATGCCTTCCAGTGTACCTTAGACTTCTTCCTTTAGTACCATTGGCTCTTGGTCATAAACTAACTCTTGAAATGGTTGAAGATCATTCATTTCTTTTTGGTACAGTGACTCTGTTTATTCCTTACATCTTCTTCTTTTTGTCGTTTTGGTATTTTTAGTAATATAGATTTCAGTGATTTTGTGACAGTATTCACTTCCCTTTGTAGACATATAAATAAAACGAGACTAAATCAGTGTTTGGAAGAGGGAGGGGTGCTTTCTGTGTCTCAGAAGACTCGTGAAAAATAGTTTTGTCAGGAAACATACTTCTTTATTTTATGTCAAAAAAGCTGGCTGGGTTATAGCAGTACTGTAGCAAGAAATTACTGTAACTGTGTCCTTCAATCTGTAACAATATTCCTTGTTCTCTGGGGCCCTACCTTCTTCTTTTGATGCTTTTTGCATCATTCAATGTTTTGCCCATAGAATCCTTCAATATTTTAAGTTGAGGCTTGAATTTTTTCTTCAGTTCTTTCAGTTTTAGAAAAAGCGTGTTCTTCCATTTTGGTTTTCTAACTCCAGGGCTTTGCACATTTCATCATAATACTTGACTCGAACTGCCCTTTGAAATTTTCTGTTCAGCTCTTTTACTTCCTCATTTCTTCCATTTGCTTAGCATCTCTACAGTGGAGAGCATGCTTCAGAGTATTTTCTAACATCCATGTTGGTCTTTTCCAGCTTTCTTGTCTTCTTAATGACCTTTTGCATTCTTCTTGTATGACAGCCTTAATAATCCCACAATTTATCTGGTCTTTGGTCATTAATGTGCAATACATCATATCTGTTCTTGAGATAATCTTAATTCAGGTAGGATATGTTCAAGGTCAAATTTTGGCTCTCGTGGGACTTGTTTTCTTCAACTTCAGCCTGAACTTGCATATGAGCAATTGCTGGTCTTTTCCACAATCTGCCCCTGGCCTTGTTTTGGCTGATGATGTGGAGCTTTTCCACTGTCTCTTCCCACAAATATAGTCAATTTGATTTCTGTTTATACCATCTAATGAGGTCCATGTTTATATTTGTCTTTTATGATGTTTAAAAAAGGTATTTGCAATTAATAAGTCATTCGTCTTGCAAAATTCTGTCATGTGATAGCAGCATCATTTCTATCACCAAGGCCATATTTTCCAGCTACTAATTCTTCTTCTTTGTTTCCAACCTTTGCCTTCCAATCACCATTAATTATCTATATATCTTGAATGCATGTTTGATCAATTTCAAACTGAAGAAATTGGTTGAATTCTCCAATTTCATTATCACTGGCTTTAGTGATTGGTGGGTAAATTTGAATAATAGTGATATTAACTGGCCTTCTTTGTTGTTAAGTGCCCTTGAGCCATTTTCAGTTCACAGTAACCCTGTATAGGGATTCTAAGGAATGGCTGATGAATTTAAACTGCCGATCTTGTGGTTCTCCTCATTTTGAGTTGTGTTCCATCAGCATTCAAGGTCCCGAAAGCCTTCTTCCATTCACATCATCATGATCAACTCTGTTTTGAGGAGGCAGCTTTTCCACAGTCATATTTTGAGTGCCTTCCAACCTGAGGGTCTCATCTTCTAGCACTATATCTGACAGTATTCTGGTGCCACTCATTATGCTTTAATATTTAATATTCTGGTACCACCTGATAGCAGGTTTTCAGTGGCTAAACAATCAGAAGTAGTCTACCTCCCCTCCTTCCTAGTTTGTCTTAGTCTGAAAGCTTAGTTAAAACCTATCCACCATGGTGTACCCAGCTAGTATTCAAAATATAAGTGGCATATCCTCCATCACAGCAGCAACATGCAAGCCACCACAGTACGGCAAACTGACCAACTGGTGAACACTTCTCTTTTTATCTACATATATAAGTTTCACTGATTTTGCCAGAAGATGAGCCCCTCAGGTTGGCAGGCACTCAGAAGGGCCTGTGGAATAACTGCTTCCTCAAAGTGGAGTCAGCCTTAATGACCTGAATGGAGTATATCTTTCAGGACCTCCATTTACTGATGTGTCATGACTTCAAATAAGAACAACTGCAGTTTGCGGGAGGATACTGCATGGCCGTTGTGGGAAATGGGCTTTCCACCCTAGAACTGTGGCCCAGTTTATCCGTAACCTGGTGGAGAAGGCTCTGGCGATGGTAAATGCTGCTGCGACTTACTCAAAGCCTCAATTGGCCACATTTTGGCACTATGCCAAGGTGGAGCTGGTTCCTCCGACCCCAGCTGAGATCCCTACAACTATTCAGAACCTGAAAAAAATAGTCAGGAGCGGTAAAACTGGTCGCTTCAAACAGCTCACCATTAAGGAAGCTCTGCTGAATGGTTTGGTGGCCTCTGAGGTGTGGATGTGGTTGTATATCGGTGAGATCATAGGCAAGCATGGCATCATTGGCTATGATGTTTGAAGACCAACCTTTACCCTCTGATTATATTTGGTTTACTATTTATTCTTGGACCATATGTGATCAGACTGCTATCTGAATAAAATAGATAATTTTGGGGGAAAAAAAAAGAACAACTGAAAACATGCATTAATAATGTTGTTGTTGTTAAGTTCTGTCAAGTTGTTTCCGACCCACAGGAATAGGGTTCAAGGAGAAGCTAGCTGGTGGGTTGGAACTACTGACCTTGTGATTCATAGTCCAGTGCTGATCCTGCAGCGCCACACCAGGAGTCAACGTATAATATATTAAGACTGAACCTAGGAACTTGGAAGTCATCAGAAATAAAATGGAAATCATAAAGATCAATATCCTAGGCATTAGTGAACTAAAATAGATTGGTATTGGCCATTTAAAACCAGACAGATGGTCTATTATCAGGAATATCATTAATATCACACACAAGTAAGATTTTGCTGAAGATAATTCAAAATGTTGTAGCAGCACATCCGCAGGGAACTACCAGAAATTCAAGCTGGATTCATTAGAGGATGTGGAGCAAGGAATATTATTGCTGATGGCAGATGGATCTTGGCTGAAAGCAGAGAATACCAGAATGATGTTTACTTGTGTCTTATTGGCCATGCAAAAGCAGTCCACTGTGGATCATAACAAACTATGGATGACATTACAAAGAATAGGAATTCCAGAACACTTTACTGTGTTTATGCGTAGTTTGTACAGAGAACAAGAGGCAGTCGTTCAAACAGAATGAAGGGATACTGCATGGTTTAAAATCAGGAAAGATGTGCGTCAGGGTTGTGTCATTTCACCATACTTATTCAGTCTGTATGCTGAGCAAATAATTCTGGAAGCTGAACTATTTGAAGAAGAATGCAGCATCAGGCTATGATATGCAGATGATACAACCTTGCTTACTGAAAGAGAAGAGGACATGAAGTACTTGCTAATGAAAATAAAAGAATACAGCCTTCAGAATGGGTGGCAATCCAACATAAAAAAAGACAAAAATCATCACAACTGGACCAATGAATGATACAATTATAAACTGAGAAAAGACAGAAGCTTGTAAGGATTTAATTTTACTTGAATCCACAATCAAAACCCATGGAAGTAGGAGTCAAGAAATCAAATGAAGTACTGCATTGGGCAAATCTGTAAGCTAGGCAAATAACCCAAGAAACTGGATTATATGAAAAGGAATGTGACATCAGGATTGGAGGAACAGTGCTTAACCAATTGTGATATACAGATGATACAGCCTTGCTTGCTAAAAGCAAAGAGGATTTAAAATACTGATGAAGATTCAAGACCCTAGCTTTCAGTATGGGTTACACTACAATGTAAAAAAGACAACAAAATTCCTCACCACTGGACCAATAAATAAGATCATGATAAATGAAGAAAAGATTAAAGTTGTCAAAGACTTCATTTTGCTTGGATCCACCATCAACACTCATGGAAGCAGCAGTAAAGTGATCAAACAATGTATTGCACTGGGCAAGTCTGCTGCTCAAGACCTCTTTAAAGTGTTCAAAAGCAAAGACATAATTTGAGGACTAAGATGTGCCTGACCCAAGCCATGGTATTTTTAATAGTCTCATATGCATATGAAAGGTGGACAATGAATAAGGAAGACCATAGAGGAATTGATGCAGTTGAGTTATGTTGTTGAGAAGAATATTGAAAGTATCATGGATTTCCAAAAGAACAGATAAATTGGTATTGGAAGAAACACAGACTATTCCTTAGAAGTCAGGATGGCAAGATTTCATCTCTCATACTTCACACATATTATCAGAAGGTACCAGTCCCTGGAGAAGGACATTATGCTTGGCAAAGTGGAGGGTTGGCAAAAAAGAAGATCGCCAATGAGATGGATTGGCATGGTGGCAGCAATAATGGGCTCAAGTGTAACAAGGATTGTGGAGACAGCATAGGATTAGGTGGTATTTTGTTCTGTTGTGCGTAGGATCGCTGTGAGTCAGAACTGACTTGATGACATGAATAACAACATATGCATGTTAAAGCTGTACAATGAATAAGGAAGACAGAAGAATTGATGCAATTGAGTTATAGTGTTGATGAAGAATATTGAATGCAACATGGGCTGTCAGAAGAACAAACAAATCTGTCTTGGAAGAAGTACAGCCAGAAAGCTCCTTAGAAGCAAAGATGGTACAACATGTCAGGAGGGACCAGTCCCTGAAAAAGGACATAATATTTGGTAAGGTAGAGAGTCAGTGAAAAAGAGGAAGACCCCCTCCATGAGATGGACTGATACAGTGGCCACAACAATGGGTTCAAACAACAATTGTGAGGATGGTGTAGGATTGGGCAGTGTGTGATTCTCTTGTGCTTAGGGTCACTATGAGTCAGAGCCAATTCAATGGCAGTTAACAACAACATGCTAAGAATGATAAATGAAGAGCATTGGCATCTCAGAACGAACATTTCAAGATCTATCCTGAAGGACAACACACCTACAAAAAAGACCAGTTAATACGCCTATTATACAAATTTACGTACCAGTCACTAATGCTAAACATGAAGACATTGAAGATTTTTACCAACTTCTGCAGCCTGAAATTGATCAAGCATGCAATCAAATGCACTAATAATTACTGGTGATTGACACACGAAGGTTAGAAACAAAGAAAATGTATTGGTGATAGCTGAGAAATATGGCTGTGGTGATAGAAACACTAGATAGCGAATGAAAGAATTTTGCAAGATCAGTGGTTTATATTTCATAGGAAATACCTTTTTTTGAGCAGTATAAACATGAACCATAGATGAGGACCTCACCAGATAGAGCACACAGGAGTCACATCCAATATATCTATGGAAAGAGACAATGAAGAAGCTCAGTATCATCAATCAAAACAAGCCCAGGGGCCAACAGTGAAACAGATCATCAATTGATCATATGCAAGTTCAAGTTGAAGCTGAATAAAATTAAAATAAGTCTAAAAGAACCAAAGTGCAACCTTAAGTATATCCCACCTGAATATAGAGACCATCTCAAGAATAGATTTTACTAATTGAACACTAATAACGGAACAACAGTCAAATTGTGAGATGATATCAAGAATATCAAACATGAAGAAAGCAAAAGGTCTTAAAAAAAAAACAGGAAAGAAAGAAAAGACAAAAATGGACATAAGAAGAGACTGAAACTTTCTTGTCAGTGTAGAGTAGCTAAAGCAAAAGGAAGAAATGTGAAGTAAAAGAGCTGAACAGAAAATTTCAAAGGGTGGCTTGAGAAGACAAAGTCAAGTATTATAAAAAAATGTGCAAAGATCTGGAGTTAGACAACCAAAAAGCAGAACATGCTTGGCATTTCTCAAGCTGAAAGAACTGAAGAAAAAAGTCAAGCCTCGAGTTGCAATGTTGAAAGATTCTGTAAGCAAAATAAGGAGACCTGGTGGTGCAGTGGGTTAAGTGTTGTGCTGCTAAACACAAGGTCAGTGGTTTAAACCCACCAGTCAGTCCTTGAAAGAAAGATGAGGCTGTCTGCTCCAACAAAGATTTACAGTCTTGGAAACCCTATGGGGCAGTTTCACTCTGCCTTATAGGGTCACTTTGAATGGGATCGATTCAATAGCAGAGGGTTCGGTTTATAGGTAAAATATTAAACAATGAAGGAAGCAATCAAAGAAAATGGAAGGAATATACAGAGCCACCAAACCAAAACAAATTGGTTGATGTTCAATTATTATTGTTATTGTTAAGTGCCAACTTATGAGTTGATTCCAACTCATAGTGACCCTGTATAGGGTTTCCGAGGAGCAGCTGGTAGGTTTGAACTTCCAACCTTGTAGTTTGAAGTCCAGTGCCGATCCTATAGCGCCACACCAGGAGTCCAGTTATTATAGGAAGTAGCATAAGATCAGGAACCAGTGGTATTGAAGGAAGAGGTCCAAGTTGCGCTGAAAGCACTGGCAAAATCCAAGACTCCAGTAATTGATAGAATGCCAATCGAGATGTTTCAACAAACAGATGCAACACTGGAAATGTTCACTCATTTATGCCAAGAAATTTGGACAACTACCTGGCCAATTGATTGTGGAAATTACCAAGCAATGTCATTAATATCACAGACAAGTAAAGTTTTGCTATGTTGTTGTTGTTGTTAAGTGCCGTCGAGTCGGTTCCGACCCATAGCGACCCTGTACAGGGTTTCAATACATCAGTAGAAATTCAAGTCAGATAGATACAGCAGAGAATGTGGAATTAGGAATATCACTGCAAAATGTCAAATGTATCTTGACTGAAAGCAGAAAATGTCAGAAAGATGTTTGTTGTTGTTGTTGTGATGTGCTGTGGAGTCGATTCCGACTCATAGCGACCCTACACAGGGTTTCCGAGGCTGTAAATCTTTACGGGAGCAGACTGCCTCATCTTTCTCCCGCGGAACCGCTGGTAGTTTCGAACTACTGACCTTGCGGCTCGCAGCCCAATTCGTAACCACAACGCTACCAGAGCTCCTGCGTTTTATTGACTATACAAAGACATTCAACTGTGTGGATCATAATAAATTATGAACAACATTGCAAATGATGGAAATTCCAAAACATTTAATTGTGCTCAAGAAGAATTTATACATAGACTAAGAGGCAGTCATTCAAACAGAACAAGGGGATATTGAGTGGTTTAAAATTAGGGCAAATGTGAATCAGGGTTGTTATCTTTTCACTATACTTATTCAACCTATATGCTGGACTATTTGAAGAAGAATTCAGTATCAGGAGTGAAGGCTCATCAACCATCTGTGACATGGAGATGACACAACCTTGCTTGCTGAAAGTGAAGAGAATTTGTAGGACTAACCAATGAAGACCAAAGAATATAGCCTTCAAAATGGATTGAGCCTCAACATAAAGTAAACAAAGCCCTCACTACTATACCACAAGCAATATGATGATAAATGGAGAAAAGCTTGAAGTTACCAAGAATTTCATTTACTTGAATCTACAATCAATGCTTATGGAAGCAGGAGT